TGACTGAATAGACTACCACAAAAGGTTGATTCAAACCAGGCACGCTTAGTTCGAAAGTAGTGTAGCCTCTCGATGTAGCAACTGACGTATCATCGATGCCTTGAATTACAACACTTCTACCGCAGCTTTTCACACCAAATCTTCGACAACACTTTTCAGTAATGCAATTTACCTGACTCGCGCTGTCCAGTAGCGCTCGGCACGTGTGTAGGTTGCCATGTCTGTCAGCTACTTGTACGAGGGCGGTAGCGAGTAGGGTTGATGAGGTTATATTCGCCGAAGAAGAGGCATATGATTTAGGTGAGTTTAGCTCTACGAATGCAGAAGATGCAATGGAGTGAGGAAGTTCGCATGATGGGTCATGTAGTGTCTGTGGCGAACTGTCTTTGGAAGGAGAATCAGCTCCCCAGTGGAGCAAAGTATGGTGTGTCTGACTTCGACAAAATTGGCAAGCTGTAGTACTCATCAAATTCGCGACGAATTTCGTCTTCATCCTCCAGAGACTTGTCAGTCATCTGTTGTGACCCAACGATTGCATGATGATAAGTTTCGGAATTATTTCTAATGTCTTCAATTCCTTCATAACGAGCTTTAAATTGATTTAACTTAGTAGAATTAGTGCGACAGGTCTGAGAACGATTATAAATTTCAACGACTTATAAAAAACCTAGAGTGGCTTTATTGTAAGTTAAATAGTTTTCCATTATAAAAACCTATCGAACACTACGCAGATTCATAGAGAAAAGCAATGTTACTCAAAAAGTAATAATAATAATACTAAATCTAAAACCAAACCGTTCTGAGTTTCAACTAAACCCAAAGAAATTCGACAAAAAATTAAATAAATACGCCTGAAACTCTGGCCGTTCCGATATTGAACGTTAAATGCAAAAGAATATTTGAAACCGAATTCCAGTCGATTGAAATCAAACGCGTATCTGTGTATAAAAAAAAAACAAACGTACTGACCTTTTTTGTATTGATGCTAATGACCTTCGTACACAAAAAAAAGTAAACGAATAAACAGATTTTTCGCAAAGCAAAGCAAAATAAGAATATTGATTGCACAATAATAGGATAAAAGTTAGTTCTGATGATTTGTCCGCGCGGAAACGGACTTTGACCGCAGCTGGCACAGCAAGAAGTCGCAAAAATTACTCGAGACAGCACCAAAAGATTTTTGATTACGGAACTTAACTGACCCTACGTCGCTTTTGGTCTTCCTTCCGGAGGGGCCGGCCCGTGCTGCGTCCTCTGTGCGTCGGGTGGTGAGGAAATTTGTTGATCACCACGCGTATGACCATTGAATGTGGTTCAGAATGGAATCTTAAAGTGATTTACAAAAATCATCACTTATATCCAACAAATCGTCTCTATAGTGAAAAGGTTTGTGATGTTCGATCGTTATACATTTATATGGTTTGTTGTTATATTTATCAGAATAAGGTTTCTTTAAACCCAATACATATATATAATATATATATATATATATATATATATATATATATATATATATATATATATATATATATATATATATATATATATATATATATATATATATATATATATATATATATATATATATATATATATATATATATATATATATAAATAGATTGATCACCAATCTGTAAACTAAGATTGTAGTTTTTATGTTTTTTAACCAAGAAACTCATTTTATTTGCAGATATTACACCTCTTGGTTAATCCTTAAAAGCTCCTTAAGGAATAATGAATTCCTATATTGGTTCTTGTAAAAACATATCTAAGGGGTTGATTTCTCAAATCATTTTATGAAAAAAGTTTCCTTAAATGTTGGTCCGGAAATGTATTATTCCCAATAATATTTAAATAACAGCTGTAGATTTCGATAAGATTCCTGTCAGAATCTGCTTTTTCGCCACTTAGTGCACCCAAATCTACCTTAGAAAAGCAGATATCTACTTAAAACCTCTTTTTTTGGGACAAATAAATGGTTTTCGCTCTTGATTTCGAGTAGATTATAGTCAAAACTTACATTTTCATAACTTAGCAGACTGAAATATACATTAAAACTGCAGACGACTACTTAAAACCCACTTTCTTGGATTGATCGTAGGTTTTTCTTCCTCATTTCAAACAGATTTCAACCAAAATCACCTTTTCCGACATACATCGTACCTAAAACTGCATGAAATCTGCAAATATCAGCTTAAACTATCATTTTTTGATACAATTACCTTTTCGTGTCAATATCTTTCAAATACTAGTCAAAATCGGTGTCTTCGGGCTTTATAGTAACTAGAACCGTAATAAACAATTAGATATCAATGTAAAACCAGCTTTCTGAGTCAAATAGTTGCCGCTGTCGATAAGATCCCAGTCAGAATCTGCTTTTTCGCCTCTTATTGCACCGAAATCTAACTTAGAAATGCAGATATGTAATGAAAACCCCCTCCTTTTGGGACAAATAATTGGGTTTGGCGTTTGATTTACTGCAGATGACTACTTAAAAACCCACTTTCTTGGATTGATAGTAGATTTTTCTTCCTCATTTCAAACAGATTCCAGTCAAAATCGGCTTTTGCCACACATATCGTACCTAAAACTGCATCAAAACTGCAAATATAGCTTAAACTATTATTTTTTGATATAAACAGTTACCTTTTTTGATAATTGATTTTTCTTCCATTTTTCAAAGAGATTTTAGTGAAAATCGGCTTATCCGGAACATATCGAACCTAAAACCGCTTCATAACTGCATTTTTTGATCCAAACAGTTAACTTTTGATGTCAATATGTTTCAAATACTATTCAAAATTGACGTCTTCGAGCATTACAGTAACGAAAACCTTTATAAACCATTAGATATCGGTGTAAAACCCCCTTTGTGAGTCAAATTTTTTTGAAATTTTCAGCGTTTTTTCTACTAATAAAGCGCTGATTTGGCGAACAATTCGACTAAAAATAACTTAATATTTATTATACAAAAAATTAAAAAAAAAACTATTGGGTGACCACCCTCATCCCGGATGTAGGAATCCAATCTTCTCGTCATGGGTTGGCGAACCTTGTCAAAAATAACAGCAATAATTCGATTTCTTAGGTTCTCTATATTTTCCACAGCGGTGACGTAAGCGTAAACGGACTTTAGGTGGCCCCACCATAAATGGTTATTATGAAAATTTTTTATTTGGAGGATTTGAACTATTTTCCGCAAACGTCATTGACACAACGCAATGCGTTAAGGAAGATCCGTAAGAAGAACTGATTGAACGTTCTTAATAATTTGCCAAAAAGTACCATTACGTGTATTTAAAAATTTTTCGAGTTGAAGTACCAGGATATTCTTCAATCATGTTCACCATATTCTCTTCCAGCTCGTGCTGTTCTTGATCTTCTTGTTCTTCCACATGGTTTTAATGTGCTCATTTCATAAATTAATAAATTTTATAAGGTTAACTCCCCATTTAATCCAGTTAGTTTCAAATCAGCCCCTTACCACTAGAAATAACGCTGCTAAATTTCAAACAAATCCGTGAAAAGATATTTGAATTAATTTAAAAACATTATTAAAAAAAACTTCATCTTTTAAACAATGTATCTGAGGAATCACTCCCATAGATATTGCCGCGTCTTTTTTAAACACCCTGTTTATAATTCTCATCTCATAGTTATGGACTTGGTTAGATAAAATTATTGATATATTAGATTTTTGTTCACTGTTGTATCTACTATTTATATAAAAACTTAAAGATACTTAGTTGGTTGTAAAGACTAGTTGTGTTAGTCTTTCTCATAATATTCTTACTATTTTGTTTTTTAACAATTGCATCTTTTGAAAATCGGCATTGCCGATCATGTACTTAGTTTTTTACGATATATAACGTCTACATTAAATACTGCAATGATCATAGGTATAATTTGCCATAAACAGTTAATGCTAAATATCTAACATTGTTAATTAATTAATTAATTATTTTATTTATATTAATTTTAAATTTATTGCTGTACCAATCTACTAAACCAATCCACATAATTGCTGACGTCACATAGAACATTTTCACCTGCACCTGCGTAGGCTTTAAGTCTCTCACCGTGACCTCATCACAGTCTGATGCTAAGTTATTTTTTTAAATCCAATATAACTTTCCCGATCTCACTTTTATTTGTTAGCTTCTTGTTCATAGTGTTTTTACTTTAACCTCTGTAAACCCTTTAATAGCGTTGGATCTTCTCTCGTACCACCGTTCCATATTAAATTAAGCTTGGTGAAGCAGTATGTTAAAGCTCAAATACCTATCGAAAATTTTCTGCTCTCAGATGCAAAATTAAAGGAAGGAATTTTTTTAGGTCCTCAAATAAGGCTTTGGGAATGCCATGGTCGAAGAGCGAGAGATTTAAAAACAATGAACTTAACTATTGTTTGAGATTTTGTTATTTAATTTAGATTTTTTTTCTTATATTACAAAAGAAGAATGTTCGGAGATTCTCATTTAATACTTCTTTTAATCTTGATAAAAAAACCTTACGTGATAGACAAAAATGCTTATCAGATTTAAATTTAAGAAGCCTAAGTTATACACACCCAAATGTCAGATCGAAATCAACTTTCAAAAGTTTCAAAATTGCATTCGAGAGAGAGAGCGAGAGATCTAAAAACAATGAACTTAACTATTGTTTGAGATTTTGTTATTTAATTTAGATTTTTTTTCTTATATTAAAAAAGAAGAATGTTCGGAGATTCTCATTTAATACTTCTTTTAATCTTGATAAAAAAAACCTTACGTGATAGACAAAAATGCTTATCAGATTTAAATTTAAGAAGCCTAAGTTATACACATCCAAATGTCAGATCGAAATCAACTTTCAAAAGTTTCAAAATTGCATTCTACCTTGACTTTAGAATTTAAGTAACTGTATCTATTAAACAAAACATTTCGATAATAATCCTTCAGTTAGTTATTCATGCACCTAATTGCTATTAAATTATATGACATGAATCTTTTTTTTTTCAGTTAAGACATAGCCGCGTCCACACCGGCGAACGACCATACGTGTGTAACATATGCGGTCGGGCGTTCACGCAATCAAACGATTTGGCTTTGCATATGCGCAGACACACCGGGGCACGGCCGTACGCGTGCGGCGTTTGCCCTGCACGGTTCATCCAATCCGGCCAATTGAAAAACCATAGAAGAACCACCGGACATTGGATGGAAACCCAGCCCGATCTTAAGGGGGGTCACAGGGTTGAACCGGTGACATCGGCGGCGGAACCGATGCCCATTAAATTCAAAACCTTCGGCAAACCGAAAGCGGAGAGGGACGCGGAAGATATCCAGAAGAGCGGGCTGTCTCAGTCGCAGTCCGGCAATCAGGATCAGGTGCCGCCCCAGAGGATCCTGATGGGGATCATGGGCAATATCAAGCTTCCCAACGAGATGCAGTCCATTATCATAGATAACGGGAAAATCGTCGATTTGCAAGGTACGAGTTTGGGATTGGTGACGTTACCGTCGGTCATTGAGGGGTCCAACGGCGAAGAAGTAAAACTGAAAACCGAGATTGGCGGGTTCAATATCGCTCACGTGGAAGAAGATCCCGACAAGCACGAAGTGATGAGTACGACCAGCACTTATCACGAGGGTTCGGATTCGGTCAGTTATTCGACGGTACCGACGTCGACGACTTACAGCGAGGCGGAGACTTTTGCCTTTCAAACGTTTCATTAATTTTTTCGGTTCGACTTCGGTCGAGTTCAGTTACCCTGTAGATATTTTGGAAGCCGTTTTTTTGTTTGGGCTAGGCGAAGATGTAAGGATCTCGAAAAGTAAAACAAAAATGGTTTAAGTATTCAAAAGTTTAATTTCCACAAAAATTATAGTATTTACCATTTACATTTGCATTGCATTTTATTCTCTATAAACCAAGATACCTACCCCCGAGGACCTTCATAGCTTTATTTGTTTGTTATCTGAATAGACTTCACAGCTTTCATAGTGACTTCTTGGTGTAGCTCGTTGCCTATGGTTTGGTTACGTCCAGCAGATGGAAACATATGTGCTTAGCAGTTCTGCTGTAAATTTGGCTCTTGGACTGCTGACGAATTTCTTGGCCTCTCATGTCTTTTCACCATTTCCGGGATTCTATTTCCATCGATTTTTTTTATTACAGATTTTGCAATTGGTTTAGCCACCCACGAAAGGGTTCTGATCCAACCATGCGCCCTGACGAGCCTTCGCGGGCTACTTGGAGACTTATTTTCGCTCGGCTCTTGATGTACGTGGCGATTGTTTTATTCCTCTTCCTATGTTCAATCCCGGTAAGGTTTCGCAATGCCTCCTTATCCGAGATACGGTGTTGCCGCTGTGTCCTAAGCCAATTTGTCTGCCATTTTGTTGCTCTCATTACCTACATGTCGCACCCAGACTAAATTGACAGAATGACATTCTGCCAGTCCTGTCAAGTAGCAATCCTGAGCTCACCCTCTCAAATATAGATGTGCTTGTCCGAGTACCCTCTCGTAAGCACACACCAGATCTCATAGATTTCTAGAATGTACTGAGATGGACCCCAGAGGAACAGATATCTGTGCCCTAGAGAGCTGCCACAGTTCCTGTTCCTATTCCAGTGTCTGTGTATCAAACTAGCACAGCCGTCCTTTGTAGGGATTTCCACTGGAAGCATAAGGTAGCCTCATTCCTGCCCCTCTTCACAGAGAGGGTTAGTTACCGCCTAAGACAAATGGCAGATGGCTTTCTGTCCTCAGGTTCCAGTTCCCTAGAATCTGCAATCTAAGGGCTGCTCTTGGGGCATTAAGCCCCACCCTAAGGTGTAAGGGTTCAGGCATTAAGAGCGCCTGACCTAGTTGGTTTTGTTTTCAAAGAGCATGTCACCATTATGCAGACCAACCTTTATATTCATTCTGTCCAAATTGTTTTATTGTGATATCAGATTGTAACATTGTTACTAGCTTTCCCGTTGGAATGGAAAGTTTTATTTTCATCTTGGGTTCATATGGTTCAGGTCCTACTCTTCGAGTTTTTAAGTTGTCTGCGTGGGTATCATATTATTTTTGCACTTATTGGTGAGCTATTTTTTCAGTTTTTTATGGTTGGCATTTGAGTCCTGTACTGTTTAACGAAACAGGATTTGGAGGCGTAGTGCTGTCCATAGACTAGGGCTTGGTGTAAGGAACGGCGTGAATTGACCATTCCATTAAAAAACAAATTAGTCGTAGTTTCAGCAATACTTCTGCAAAAAATCGTCATTCTGCGTCAAGAAGCAAATCCCGAAAAATGGAAAATATTTTAAAAACTATTCGGCCGCGGCATACTGTTATACAAAATGTGACCAGAATTACGGCAGAATTCAGATACGAAGAAATAAATAAGGAGCTGCGTAACAAAAATACTTTTTTATACATTTATGAGACAGTCCACCCATGTCTCTGAAAAGGCTTAATGCATTTTAATAAACTTGAAGTCATTAGAAAGCGCTTTTCTTAGGCTCTAAATAATTATAGGAGTTATTCGATTGTGGTTGCTTATTTTGCCATCAGTTGGATTTTTCTGATAATTGCAAACAATGGAATGATTTCAGTTTTTTGTTTATGTCATTTGATGTTGGCAAAAAATTCTACTTTTCTAGGTAAAGCCCTTTTTAACGACTTTATTAAAATGCGTTAAGATATGCACATTTATTTAATAACATATTCAAACACCCCTTACAAATTTCCTTGTTTTCGAGTTTTAAATTTCAAGATGACATTTACGCCCTTTGGTGGTTATTTCAGAAACTCGAAAATAATTGTCAGCATTTTATCTTTGGCGATTAACTTTTTGTGTTCGAATTTCTAGGCGTGCGTGTCCCTAATACCCTACCTCGTTGCTCTTACTGGGACATGCGGAATAATAACCTATACCTAAGTCTTAAAACTTTGCTTATAGAAGATGACTTATTTTAAACATAAATAAAAACAGGGTGATCAAAAAGTAACATTAACAAAAAAAATATTGTCATTTGTCACTGCCATTGTCAATTTTATCGTATTGAACATTTTAAAAAAGGGTAAATTTGGTAGGAATCTGCCAATTTGATAAAGTTGTAATTTTCGAAATATTGTCATTAAAACGTTTTCCCATTGTAAGAATGCTATACGTATATTAATTGGTGAAAAAGATAACTCCGAAGCATGACAGAAAAAGATATCAAAAATCGTTTGCTGAAAACTATCCAGGCGTGCAAAAACCCAGAACAAAACAGTGTTTATCAAATAATAGAAATATTTAAAAATGTTAGGATACTTTAATTTTTATATAGTTTTTTCTTTTTAATTTGTTTTAATTGCGATTGGTATATTCTTCATTATTTATATATTTCTTTAGAATAATGTTGTATAGACATGAAAGTAGTTTGTTATATTAAAATAACTATAACAAAAAACATATTGCTCGATTAGTTTTCTTCGCTATGTTTCGCTGTCATTTTCTTGTAAGATTTACAATTTACAAATTTAAAAATGTACAATTTACAAGTCTAGTCTTACGATTACCGACACTTAACCATATATGAAATATTACAATATATAATTTTTGTCTAGTTCTGAAAATAAACATAGGTTTAAAATGCTTGTTTTTATAAAGGGACCTTAGGGGAAAATATGGCCATGAGCTTTAAATCGTAAGTGATTGTCAAGCATTTAAGGCGAGGTTTTTGACTTTTTTTATAGTCTGGAGATTTAGACCATCTATAAATAGTCTAATGTTAATAATTACAATCCTATTTTTTTGAGTTTCAATTTAATTTTAGATTATTTTAAGAGGCTATTAGAAACTATTTGCAAATCGTAATCATTTTTAATCATCATATTTACAATGAAAAAACCTGTTATTGCAACTATTTATACACCCTTTTTTAAAAGCTTAATAAGATAAAATTATAAAAATAGGGCATTTTTATTTATTTATGTATTTATTTATTTTTAAAATATCACTACAGACCACTAAGGTGGATCTTTATAAGAAAATACACTGCAGATATATAGCAAAGGATGGATTTCCATCGCAGAAGTCGACATAGATGTTGTATATATAACAACACACTATTATGAAAGTTTTAAGTCTTTTTAATCATTTTCACAGGTTCTGAGATAAGGTATCATTTTATCTAAAATTTTTCTCTTATCAGATTAAAGAATGAAGTTTAAGACAATTTGGATGCCCATTAGATGCTTCTTCGTCTTAAAATCACAAGATATCTTAAACCGTCTTTTACTATTGTGTCATATATAACTTATGCCCTAAGTTTGAAAAATGGCATTTAAGTTACGAGTGTCATTTGGCACGCGCGCAGCGATTGATCAACAAACGAGTGAAAGGAGAAGTTCATCGATTTTTTGTTGCTCTTTCTACAACCACTTGCTTACGTTAGCATAGTTTAATTTATTAAAACACTAACAACATCCAACTAACATCTTTTTAAGGGCAAGAATAACGAACATTTAATAATAAAGCACCATTCAACGTTCTTCAAGTGAATTTAATGGAAGGTCTGCAAGAAATTAAGGAGGGCAATTTCGCAGAAAATTATGGGAACACATTGGCATTTGAAGCACTGAGTCACTCTTTATAGATTTTGCTTATGTGCATATAGGAATCTGTTTTGTGGATCTTCCGATGCTGGTTATGTGGATCAGGCGATGTACTCAATCATATTTGGAGGAGGAATGTGCATTTTTAAGATTTCTACTAATCCTTTGTACTGATTATATTTGAAAAGATCCTAGTATTCACAAACCGCCTGAAACTAAGGTGATCAGGTTTTCCACCATCAAATTTCTGAAGACGCCCAAAGTTTTGTACAGCAATATCAGGGCAGTGAGTAAAAAGAGTGCTAATTTCTGTATCGAACGGATATTTAAAGCAATATTTTAGATTTATTTCCCTATCTTTTCTTAGAAAATCGTTTGATCTGAACAGTCAGCAGATGTCAGCAATATCTTACATGCAACGCCTATTGTCTCAAGAAAAACACTAGCACCTAGTCGTTTTATATTCATCACAATCAGAGCTTTTAAATGGTCAAAATTTATCCAAGTAAAAACTGCAAGCTGTTGCCTATGTAGATTTTTGTCATTATTGTTGGGTAGAAAAATGTGTGTATATATAATGTATATGTCTCTTTCGTTTGTTGTGACTCTATCGAGATAGGCATACTGGGACATTCTTCCTATTGAACGAGTGACGGTCCTGCTTTACAGCACATATGCACTCTTTTACCTTTTTATTTTAAAGTTTCTACTATTCTAGCGTGTAATTTTAGATAGTCAGGTAATTGCTTTTGTAATATTGTAAGTTATGCTTCGATGACTCGTGCTTTAACACAATTCGGTTGGAAATAAATAACATAATGAATACTTTGCAAAGTGTCAATGGTTGAAATTATTAAACATGAAGCATTATGGCTAAATTATTTGACCATAGAAAAGTGTCTTTTTTTGTATAGGTTTTATTTTTAAAATATTTTCATACCATGTAGGATCAATAATGCGAAAAGTCTAATTAAGGCTTAATGCAGTCAAACTTAGGCGTTTACAAAAATGTAACATTAATTTTAATACTTATTGTCTGAGTTGGTGTTTCCTTTTTTTTTAAAGAAATTAATGAGCCTAGCAATCGATGAAATGTCATGTCTCAATTTTTAACAACTTAAACAGAGTGTTTGAAAATTAATAAAATAATTAATTTAAATTAGACGTCCTGTATTTTATGCAGCACTCAACAACGCTTGCAAAAAAATTAACTCCTTCATTCTGCAAAATGATTTTAGACAGTAGCCTAAATTATGTACAAACAAAAAAAATTGTGGAAATAAAGCAGACACATTTTTATATCAGATGTTCAAAATAACGATCTGTGATCCAAGCGCATAATTTTTCTAAAACCTTCAGCAGCATTTTCCAACATACGAGGGTTTACCATTTGGACAGCTTGTATGAAGCACCGGTTGAGATCATCTGGTATTGTCGGAGGTAACGATTTCTTTGTCCCCACTAAAGAATCCGGTGGCATTAAGTCGGGCGAACTTGGAATCCAGTTTGAAAAATATTTTTTCCATTGGACCTGTCTTGAAAATTTCTATTTAAGCATAATTTTTGAACCTTTTGTATAACATTCCACAATTTCAATATAAAACTTTATCAATTTTTTGGAATTCCCTATGTGACAAAAAATATTTTTAAAATGAAGTCTTAGTATTAAAACAAATAAAAACCTTATCCTTACATGTTCGCGGGTTCATAACCTAACTTACGATTTTTTAAAACTGATTTGTTCTTTTAAGTATTTTAGAATTAGATGTAAATACTGAACTTCGAAATGTTTATATCGATAATGTTAGTCTTATTTACATTTTAAGATTTAGTTCATATGTAATTGTAATTTTATACTTAAATGTTAATTCCAATCTAGATTTAGTAACTTATAAACATATTCGATAATGTGTACATACCTTTTGATTCATTAAATTTCATTAAATTTGAAACAGGAGTTTGTTTTTGAATGCAAACTGAACGTTAGATGAAGGGGGACAACCAACATGTTTTTTGGTTGTTGAAAGCAACCATTAATGTAGAAATAGAAAAGTGCTTGGGTTTTTGGGTGGACAGCGTTACGACTATCTAATGACAGTAGACAGTAGTTTTAAAATTGAAGATAATAATTACGCTCTTGGTGGCCATTTTATAATTTTGAAAATTATTTCAAGCTTCATTTTTTTTCAAATTTCTAGGACGTCCATTTCCCTAATACTGTACCTCGTCCTTACTGGGGCACCCGGGATATATTCAACTTAATTCTGTAATAACGCGAATAAAAATTATGTTTATGTTTATGATGGAGTAGTTGTCAAAAATCGTTAATGAGAGAAATTAATTTTCGAGGCTATACCTCTATCTTGTGCTGAAGCAGAGGAAAATGTAGAAAACTGTAAAATTAATAGACCACATGAACATACTTGCAAGTGCAGATCAATCTCAACTTTAGGAGATATATTTTACCAATATTTTAGTTCCCTCCTCCATATCCCAAAATGAACCAAATTTGGTTCAACGGGTTTATATTCCAAAGAATAAGAATTTTCACATAGCATAGCAGCATAGAAAAATCTTGTAGGTTGTAGAATTCTACCGACACATAACTTGATTTGATCTATTTGTTTTATTATATTAGAGGTGTCGATTAGCAACATATTTTATCACTTTCTAGATTTGTCTTTGTCTTTCTCTTTGTTGGCTGCCAATACAGCACCGGGGGCCGGATAAGGTCTTTGCTGGTATAACACACCGGAAGCTGTACTATCAGCTCTGGTTTTGTTAGAATCCAATCCATCGCTCCAAGTACCCTGCGGTACGTCGGAATACGCTGCGGGATCCATCGGATCTAGGGCGTTATCGTCCCATTTTGGTCTTTTACTGTTACGATGCCGCTCCTCCTTTTCCCGTTTGCTTCTCCTGTCATCGCTGAAAAATAAATAAGAACGTAGTAAATTTAACGATCCAGGTTTTCAACATATAGTAAATTTGGTTATTTTATCTTCTAGTATTAAAACCAGTACATATTTCATTATCAATAGAATGGAAAAAAAAGCCTACATATTTGTTTTAGTTATTATTAGTTACCTACTTCAAAAAGCATATACACAATCAAAAGATTGTTGCCTGTAAGTTTAACAGATAAATTGTTTTTTATTACTAAAGTATTAAAGCTTTTTTCTATCTTAATTTCTACTGGTAACTTTTTTAAAAAAATTATGCACGAGTAAGTGAGACCTCTTTCGATTGATGTGAGTCTGTGCAATGGGAAATTAAGACATTCATATCCGGTGTTGATGTTTTGTTGTGACTCGTGCAAAATAAACCATTACGGGGTACTGAAAAAATGTTTGCGTAATTAACTGTTTTAAGATGTTCCAAAGTTAGATAGAGGTTTGATAAATGTTCCGACCAATTGTGGTAAATACGAATGCCCAAAAACGTGGTTGTTTTTGAAAGCCGTACAACCTGGTTCCCTATCGTGACTTCACTCCTGTCCTCTGTCTTGAACAAAAGCAAACAAAATTAGTTTTCTCCGCATTCAAAAACAATTAAGGTCTTGTGTTCATGGCTATTTCAAAATTTTTAGAAAATATAGGCATCACACTAATAGGCCTATAGTTTTAAATAATCTTATCTCCTTCTTTATATAGCGGATTTACGAGACCTATTTTTAATTTACCTGGTAAAATGCCATGTTTAAACGAATTATGTATAATGTTACAATGAGTGGATTGAAACGAATCAGGCGCTTCTGCATAAGCGAAATACCATGCACAATTTTCTAGGGAATTCTGCAATTTTTGTAATTGAATCAAAAAATGTGGTCTAGTGATATCACCAAGAACTAGGCAAGATGGACATTAAAGACTCTTTCCAACGTTCGCGATATGTCCTTACTAGCTATACCAGATGCCGAAATTAGACATCGTACTGCATATCTCGACAATGCGCCCTTGCCGATTTAAGAATAAACAAACCTTACTTATTTTTTGAACATTACTCTGTATCTGCTTACATACCGCTTGAGGGGGGCGGAGCTAAAGGAGAAAAATGAACATTGTCAATGTTAAAACGAGATTTAGATTATGCAAAACCCTCTCAGTTCTTCTACCCTAGGAAAATCCGAGAATCCAAAGAAATATCTAAACAACCAAACAACCTTTCACCAATATGGGAATCAGTCATCCAAGAGAATATTTAGCTTCCCCTCCTCACCTCAATAAGCAAGTACAAAGTACAAACCAAGCCAGCTTAAGTTAAGCTCTGAAGAAGATAATAGGAATGGCGAAACGTCAGCAAGTTCGAATCATCACTAACCGACACATATAATATTTTATTAGCGTTAAAATAATTGTATACTGCCATCAGTGTTTATGTTTTATTTATTGTGTTTAATTTATTGATTGATTGATTAATTTTTGCTATTTATAGGGCACAATAGCAATAAAAAATTGTAAAACATAAGATGTATGATTATTGATATCGCTATTCGCCCTGGAAACGCGAATAAAAGTATTTGTGTAAAACACATATTAATATGTCAAGAAAGTACCTAACAGCGCTGTGTTGATGAAAGATTCAGTTTAAATTTGGCGCCATGATGAGAACTAGCCGTCGCATTCTGATAGGCCCGACACCGTTAGAATATACTCCTTCCGACTGGACCAAATCCGTTAAGTTTAATTAATTTAATTTAATTAAGTTTAACTAACCAAAACTAAAGGCTGGAGTACATAGGGGATGCTGAATCTTGTATTTCTGCAGTTTATTTATTTTTTTATAACATTTCTTGTTCCGTGTTGCCAAATGTTTAATTATCACTTCTTAGATCCCAACACGATTTTAAAGGAAGGATTTTTTTTTCGCCAGAAGTCATCCTTGCTGGTATATACTGTTGGAGTATGGATTATCCTCAAAACTTTATAGCACATGAGGCTAGGGTAGCTCCCCATAATGCTCCTATAATTGTAGCTTCCTTTTGCAGCGACATTTGTGAAGATAATGGAATTTGACTTTTGTTTATTTGTCGCAACATAAGCTTACACATTGCTTTAGAATATAATATTCCTATTGCTGTTATCTTTTTACAATAATTAAATAAAATATTCATATTAAAAAACTCGCCCTATCTTGTATCACTTAAATTTCTGCTAGAGCAAAAGTATTTGGCTGACAACATTTTTGAAAATTTGATTGCATCTTTGACCGGTTACATTCGATTGTTCGATACCTTAAGTTCAAAAGTGAAATAGAAATAAAATATTTTGAAAAAATAGCGAAATTTTTTTGGATTGAAGATATCGGATTTTTTAATGAAACAAGAATCGAATTAATATAGCTATTTGGTAACACTTTGCAGCTGGAGGTCACTTGGTCACCACAGTTAAAATTTTGTTTTGTAGTTTTGTAGGTCCCGCAGAAACTAAAAAGGCCAATTTTAGTCACCATATGGGTGTTCTCTCAAAAATTAAATCAATTCTGGCGAGTCATTTTCACAAAATATTTTTTCTTGAGCATCGGAGGTTTGTCAACAATAAACAATGATGTGTATGAGTATTATATCAATGACGAAAACATATTGCAATCTGAGTCATTTTCATTCTCTGAATGTGCAAGATTTTCAAATGTATTTTTTGTTTACAATATGTTTTAAACCTTGATAAATTCTGATTCTGGTAAAGTTAAAGGTAGTCATGGTTTGAGACTAACTGCAGCTAGGACAGAGGTAGTGTGGCACAGAGACGCAAGGTTACAGATGGTAACCAATCATAATTTAAAAATGAATGGAGTGACTCTGGAGTGGGCACAATCAGCTAAGAGTTTGAAGGTCTATTTAGATGGCATTGAATACACACATTAATAATGTAATAAAAATAAGTAAAAATAAATAAATAAATAATTTAAAATGTTCGATTCAGATCACCAATATATAGGCAGTTTATTATCACTATTTAATGTTCCTTTAAATAATAATAAAAATAATAATGATAATAATAATAATAAATCTATATATTTAGCCCATCTCTTGAGTAAAAGATTTGAATATCATAAAGTGAATAAATCTCCATTTTCAATCTCTAAGTTTACAGTATCATTTTCTCATTTAGCACCTCGTATAATATTACATTATCGGACATTTTGTATTTGTAGTTTTAAAAAATCTGCAAATGTTCAACTGATTACGAAGATGTACTTTAATTCTGGTTTAATTTTTTTCCTTTGGTGTAATATGTACTAAATGTGCACAAGAAGGTATTTTTACCGTTAGTGTTAGGACAGCTCAATTGTCCACTTCTAAATTGACTAGTCAAATTTGATCAAAATGTTTTAAATAACATCTTGCAATTGTAAAGTGTACAATTTGTGATGTTCAATTTATCCATAACCCTCTTAAAAGAATACCCAGATACCCAGATATTTAGCGATTCAGGGAATCCCAATAACAACATCGACTCCATTTAGTTTTCAAAACGACGTGAGGGCGACGTGGCGCACAATATAAATAAATATAAATTTCATTGTATTTTCAAAATTATTTCGGTAAATTGACACAAAAAAATTTGACTGGTCAATTCCACAACTCTATGTACTATATTGTATACAGTTCAATGTCAAAAATAAAAATTCTACAGGTATTACATAATTTACAATATTTCTTAAAGGTTGGGCTTACCGATTTCTTCGATCAGAGTATCTGCGATGAGTTCTATTCTCATCATCATCATCAGAGTCTCTGTCACTGTCACATTGTTTTCGACCTTCTTTCTGTCTTCGTTCTACTTCTCCCATTTCACTTTTCTGTTGTTTCTCACGAAGTTTGGCAGAACTTCTCACGATTTGAGCCTTTGGATGTTTTGGAGGTAACCAACAGACCAAATCATTTTCCATGTTCCAGTAATAATATCGACCTCTATAAAAATTTGAATTTTGATTCATAATCAACAAAATAATACAAAATTATTTACACTCCTTTGTCAAATATTTCCATCCAATTATTTGGAAGGGGATATATCACCAACATCTTCTGAATGTTGCGAATATATTTTGGATCTGGAGTTTGTACACCCTTCCAATTAATTTCACACCAATGGTTACATTCATGGTAAATGTTGTATTTGTTTGGGCAAGTCGACACGCCTTTGTAATCTTTCTTTTTGTTTGGTTCTGGCTTCTGTTTACCTAAAATACAAATATTTCAGGTTATTCCATCTAGGACATAAATTTACTTACCTGTTAATATTCCCCTCTGGGACAGTTTTGCAGCAAGTGCAGGGGGAATTGGCATTTTGCGATTTTAAACGTCTCTGCACCTCAAATTACTTAATGGCAAACTTTTCCGCTTGTGTTTAAATTAGTGTAAACATTTTGACTTGACTTCTTTGTTTCCAAGTGCTCTCACCCATGCACAAAATAACAAAAACTAACCAAATACTTGCTTTTTTTTACACAATTAAAATCCAGAAAGCAATAATGCACTCGAGTCTAACATTTAACGCCTTTTAAATTTGGATTGAATTGAATTATACTTCTAATGGCCACGGCTACAATAGGTCACTCGGCCAACTTACGACAAGTGTAACATATACAAAAATCCTGAAGAATGCCTTCCTTAAAGAAGGGTCTGGACCAATCCATCATCCTCCAGGTTAATTAACATACACAAAAACGGGAACAACTTCCAAATATATTGTCATAAAATGACGACCGATTCTTCACACGGCTCCAGCAATTATCTTATACGGGATATCCCATCCCATCCGGCCTGGTTACCAGCGTGAATATAAGACATCCGGAAACCGTGTTAAAATAGACATCATGGAATAACACATCACAAATCAGTGTACATTTCCGTGAAAATTTATAGGCACTACGCCTATAACACTTCAGATAACAAATGTACAAAACAATATATTCTTTAAACGACACTAATTTCAATCGATTCCTACAGATTTTTTGGAATCGGGCAAGAGCAACGTCCGCCATATGCAACGGTTCCATCGAAAGTCCTAAATTTATATTTACTTCAACGATATGTTTCACCAATTCTGTTGAGCGCGACTACTGTGATCATTCCCTTAAAAATCGCAAACTTAATAGGATTGCCCAATCCCATAAGATACAAGTTTCCCAAAATTATCGATCGCACGTGGTCGCTTGTGACGTAAGCGAAGTCTTCTAACGGTTTTTGTGTATTCTGTCAATGCATTTGGAGGCGTATTAAACCGTTGTATTTTGAACAATTAAAATAATTTAAACTAGTGAGTAGTACCCTTATGTTTGTGTTAATTGTATTTATGTAAACAAAACAGTGTTTTTAAGCTTTAACAAACGCTTTAAAATTGAACTGAGAAAAACAGTATTTTTAACCTTAAACAAAGACTTAAAAGTTTTGTGCTTGTGCTGCTTATTAGCGGTGTTATTAGTTAGGAGGTAAGCTCAAAATATTGCACATAATAATATAGGTAAAGGTAAGAAATTCATTTCTTCTACCTTTTTCAGTATCATAAGTTACATCAAAAACTTGTTTAATACGCCTTCAAATGCATTGACAGAATACACAAAAACCGTTAGAGGACTTCGTTTACGTCACAAGCGACCATGTGCGATCGATAATTTTGGCGAACGTATGTCTTATGAGATTGAGCAATCCTATTAGGTTTACGATTCTTGGGCGGAGCCTAATAATAGTATATTTTGCAACAAGTGCGGTAAACAGCATTTGACTCTCAAGTTTATTTGACACGAGCGGAGCGAGTGTTTAATAAACGAGTGAGTTAAAAAGTTTACCGAATGTGTTGCATACTGTACTTTTTCTAGGACCGTTAGTTTTTGGGTACATTTTCGCAAAACACGAATACATTCACTGATATGACTGTCAGAATTGAAAAACGTCAAAATTCAAAGCGTGGGAAATATGTCCGAAAACATCCGATTGCTGCCAAACCCGTGCCGTAATATCCCGGAAATGTCCGAAGTGGCTCGGATTCGTGGGAAACGAAACTGACGTGGTAAAGTGCTAGATCGGTGCGTAATTAGGTATTTTACAGACGGGAGAAGAAAAACATTGTTTTGATTTCTTAACCTATTCTTCCTCGATTTTCTGGGACTGGCCGTCCGGTGGCCACCATAGATAGCGTTCGGGTAGTTCGATCTCTTTGACGCAACCTTGATTCTTTGGCACGGGCCATACGGCCTTCACCAGAGATAGAGTTGAGTTGTTCGATCTACTGTTGCCGTACCGTCGACTATGTTGGCAAGAGTGGCGTGTGCCCCTTAGCTAGTGTTGTGTCAATCGTTCATTTTACGAGGGCCGAATTAATCAGTGACCGATTTCGAAAAGGACCGAACATTTCAATCAATCCGTTCATTTGAGTACTTTTTGATGCCAAGATTATGTTACCCATTTTATTCAGGAAACGAAGCCCGTTCTCCATGTAGACACTATTGCATTTGAAGATAGGTGACAGGTTTGAAAATATTAAGCCTACAATTATTACGCATTTAATTTTCGATTTTTGTTACAGGTCATTTTGCTCGCAGCTTGGACGAATCTTTTGGGAAATTTGCAGATATTTTTAGGACATTTAAGAGGGACACAGAAGAACGAAATTCCGAGGAAAATTTGAAAAAACGAAAAATTGAGAAGCAAACATATTATCCTAATCAAAAATTAATATAAGTATTTATAAACCTTTCATTTTCATATAATATTTTATTTTTTAGATAATTGCATACTTTAATTAATAAATAATAATTGTATGATATAAGATGTAAATAAATTTTATTGTCATATTTTATAAGTCAATTTACCCTCAAAATACAAATAAAAGCAGTATAAACACATTGTCAGTTTTATTTTATAAAGTTCAAAATAGAATTAACATATTAACCAAAGTTTACTTGGTCAATGATTAACAACAAATAATCTAAGCTATCATACTTAATGCGACATGCGTTGTCCAATCTGTCAAGAAAGTAAAGAGCGCTAGGCGGATGCCAACTTTAAATATCTCCGATTCGGTTTGAATTTGGCGTCATGGTCAAAACTAACCGCCGCGTTCTGATTGGCTCGGCACGTTGGAAAATTAACGTATGCTCCAACATAAGCGGCAATAGTTACCGAATCCGAACAGTCCGAACGATCGATTGATTCATTTGAATTTGAATTAAATTCCTATGTGGAAATAGATATTTCATTCAATATTCAATTCAACACATAAGCAAATCTACTAATCGATGTAGCAACTCAATACTATAGAATAATTATAACAATACTCCCATTTCTTTTTCGTAGCTTGTCTCAGTCAAGCATTTAAATCTTAAATCATTCATATGAATCGTATTCCGCATGGCGAATCCGTTTTTTTTGGTACTGTCGGTCGATCGGGTGTCCTGTATTCATTTACTTCAGGTGATCGAATCGCTATGAACAACCGAGATTCGGTCGTTCGATCCTATGAAGTGATTGAATCAAAGTGACCGAAGCAATTGCGATTGACACAACTCCTCGTTTAGCCTTTTAATAAAACTGGTTGTCTGAATCGTCCGGCATTTTGTACGCTCGCTTTTGAAGCTTAGGGCTGTGGCAGGTTTTCTTTTGTGTGACCGATTTCTTTTTTGAGCCGGTAGTGCTACCCCAATAAGAGGGGATGTGTAAATTGGTCACTAATTGATGATTTTCCATAGTTTTGGATCTATTTGGAGTTTAGAATGGGAATCTTCCTCAACGAGGGATTTTAAAAAGAATTCTCATTGGCCCACATTTCCAGAAAACCCTCGAATCGAGGGTGTTGAGTGCGAGTACTGAGCCAGCGGTAACAGACAGTTGTGTAACGTTCGGTACAGCTTAAGGTTTGGGTAGGTAGCTTAAGTGGCCTGTTCTCTTCAAGAACGATTTAATGTTTTAAATTATAATACATTACATTCTTTTGCACCGCCAAAATTTGAAGGTGAGATTTGACACCCACACCAACCACCAGGTTGGAGGAAATAATTTCTTGTTCGTGATTCACTTGTTTATTTCCTTTAAGGGTTGGAACCTCAGGTTATTAAGTTTATCTTTTTGAATCACGTGGCGCCTACCTACCACCTTCCTGGACTGACCGAGGTGCCCTTCACCGCCTTCCGACCTGGGCTTCTATTAATTTTTTTTTCTCGATTGACGTTGAGCTAGTCTGGGCATTGTCTTACCTCACTAATAAACTTCAAATTCAATTAATTAATGCTTTTCTTTTTCACGACCCTGAGATTGAGAGGTAAGATGTTTACGTGGAAATTGTCCTATTTTTTCTGTGTTCAAAATATGTTGGTTTGAAGTGTTTTTAAAACAAGTGAAAATAGAGTTATCGTTTGATTAGTAATTTTATAGACACTAGGAATAATATATTGGGTGATGTATTGCCAAAGGGAATATAGAAAATCTCATGTACATTTTTAATTAGGTGTATTTTAAATTGTAATGTAACTTTTTGAAGGGGCCGGTATGGGTCGAGTTTGAAGTCAATCTTCAGTTATTGAATTAAATATGACCAGCAAATAATGAATTTAATTTAAAGAACTGTTTAAGCAACAACAAATCTTCTTATTTAAAATAATATTTAAAAAAAACATTCCTAAAAAGGAAGATTATTTAAAATAAACATTATTTTTTAAGTAAATGTTCAAAAAACCCTCCATTCACAGTTAAACAATATCCTAAAACATCACAAAATTCAATTTTAATATTGCTTAGCTGATATTGTGAAATCCCGTCATATTCTAAGCGTTTGCTAGCGTCCAGAAAGCAGTCGTTCGGCGCGAGGTCAGATGACCTAGGTGATCAAAGATCGTCAGCTTGGGCCAATAATATTTCCGTAAAAATATTTCCCAAATACTCCCTAACCATAAGGGAATTGTGAGCGGGACAACCAACCAACTGGTACCAGATCTCCCGATCTTCGCAAACACCTTCAGTTTTGGACACTGTTGATGAGTTCAGTGTGAACATTCATCAATGAAACAACGATTTAAAAAAAAATCTTATCAATATTTGGTTTTTCCATCATTACAAAACAAAATTCTCTTCTTTATCGCCTTTCTGGAGCTGTCTATGCTTTTCGCTTTTGTAGGAAAAATATTTGTGATTATATACCTTTTTTTCCTCTTCATTTACACTTTTTTTTCTATATTCCTTATCCCAGAAAGAGGTAAGAATTCTCTTCAAGTTTCGGTGGTTCTTTTATAACAAGTTTGTATACATCGCTGTTTTACTATGCAATGTATTTCATTTTTGCGGTTTAATGTTTCATAGTACCTTATACCGTAGGTATATCAGTGTTGTACATTTACAGTTCCGGTATATTGTAATTTATTAATTTTTGATTGTGGGAAATTTGGACGATATCTATACTTGTGAAGCTTTATACAACTGTACAGCTATTTTTCCAAATTGGAGCACCACAGAATTTTGAATATTCATTATTGGTAAAGTTGTATTTACGTTTGCATTGGAAAAGTATTATTGTTAAGAATTTTTTCGGAAGTGTCAAATTTCACAAAATTCTAGCTAC